TTTCTCAATTTTCATCTCCAAATCAGAATTTGACAAAACTAAGATAAGATTAATGGAATATAACTAGAAAGGAACAAGTAATCGCTACCCAATGATCTTCTCTTCAAAAACCTCACAAAATCGCCCTACCCCGAGCTCCAAATTTGATTTTTCCAAGTTTTGAACAAAACCCTCGATTCTGCCCCTTTTCTGCCCAGTAAAACCGCATCTGCGGTCCTGGGACCGCACCTACGGTCCCGCTTCTGCGGAGCCAAGGTCGCACCTGCGACTTCTCACTTAAATCAATTTTCCGCTTCTGCGACACATTTTCCGCACCTGCGGTCTCGTAGGTGCGTTAACCTTCTCGCACCTGCGGCTCCTGGAGCTGGACCAAATTTCCGCTTCTGCGGTACAATAGCCGCTTCTGCGGCGCTGCACCTACGGTCCCACACATGCAGGTGCTGTTATGACAGGTTCAGCAATGCAAAAATCTTCCTAAGTCCAAATTCAACTTCCGTCAAGCACCCGAAACTCACCCGAGGCCCCCGGAACCTCAACCAAAAACACAAACAAGTTTAATACCACGGCCAAAACTTATAACAATCCTTAAAACACCTAAAACAACATCGAAACACCAATTTAACATCTAATTCAAGCCTAAGAACTTCAAAAACTCAAAATTTACGCTTTCGATCAAAAAGTCTATCAAACCTCGTCCGAATGACCTGAAATTTTGCACACACATCACATTCAACACTACGGAGCTACTCCAACTTCCGGAATTCCATTCCGACCCTCGGATCAAAATCTCACTATCGAACCGAAAACTTCAAAAATCCAACTTTCGGCATTTCAAGCCTAATTTAGCTACGGACCTCCAAAATGCAATCTGATCACGCCCCTAAGCCCGAAATCACCCAACGAAGCTAACGGAACCATCGAAATTCCATTCCGAGGTTGTCTTCACACTGTTCTAACTACGGTCAAATTTCCAACACTTAAGCTCTCATTTAGGGACTAAGTGTCCCAAAACTCTCCGAAACTCAAAACCGAACATCCCGGCAATTCAAAATAGCAGAAATGAACACGGGGAAAGCAGTTAATAGGGGATCGGGGCGTAAATTCTAAAAACGACCGGCCGGGTCGTTACATCCTCCCACGGTTAAATATTCGTTCGTCCTCGAACGAGCATAGAGACATACCTGAAGTAGTGAAAAGATGAGGGTAACGGCTGCGCATATCCTGCTCGGTCTCCCAGGTCGCCTCCTCGACCGGCTGACCCCGCCACTAAACCTTCACAGATGCAATGTTCTTTGACCTCAGCTTTCGAATCTGCCTATCCAATATCGCCACTAGCTCCTCAACATAAGATAGATCCTTGTCCAACTGGACCGAACTGAAGTCCAACACGTGCGACGGGTCACCGTGATACCTATGGAGCATCGAAACATGAAATACCGGATGAACTCCTGCCAGGCTGGGAGGTAAGGCAAGCTCATAAGCAACCTCCCCAACACGCCTCAAAATCTCAAAGGGCCAATAAACCTCGAACTCAGCTTCCCTTTCTTCCAAATCTCATAACGCCCTTCATAGGCGAAACCCGAAGTAGAACCCGCTCTCCAACCATGTAGGAAACATCACGAACCTTCCGGTCCGCATAACTCTTCTGTCTGGACTGGGCTGTACGGAGTCTATCCTGAATCACCTTAACCTTCTCCAAGACATCCTGTACCAAGTCTGTGCCCAATAACCTAGCCTCACCCGGCTCGAACCAACCCACCGGAGATCTACACCGCCTACCATATAAAGCCTCATACGGTGCCATCTGAATGTTGGACTGATAGTTGTTGTTGTAGGCAAACTCCGCCAATGGCAAGAACTGATCCCAAGACCCTCCAAACTCAGTCACACACGCACGGAGCATATCCTCAATAATCTGAATAGTACGCTCGGACTGTCCGTCCTTCTGAGGGTGAAATGTTGTGCTCAACTCCAGCCGAGTACCTAACTCATGTTGTACGGCTCTCCAAAACCGTTATGTGAACTAAGTACCTTTCTCTGAAATGATGGAAACTGGAATACCATGTAGACGGACAATCTCCCGGATATAAATCTCTGCCAACCGCTCCGAAAAATAGGTAGTACTCACAGGAATGAAATGCATGGACTTGGTTAGCCGATCCACAATAACCCAAATGGCATCGAACCTCTTCAAAGTCCGTGGGAGCCCAGATACGAAGTCCATGGTGATCCACTCCCACCTCCACTCCGGAATCTCTATCTGCTGAAGCAATCCATCCGGTCTCTGGTGCTCGTACTTCACCTGCTGACAATTAAGGCACCGAGCTACAACTCAACTATATCTTTCTTCATTCGCCTCCACTAATAGTGTTGTCTCAAATCCTGGTACATCTTCGCGGCACCCGGGTGAATGGAATACTGCGAACCATGGGCCTCCTCTAGAATCAACTCCCGAAGCCCATCAACATTGGGTACACAACCCTGTACTACTATAAAGTAGCAAGAGTGGTCGAAGCAGCTTTTACCCGAGAAGGTCGGGATCGATTTCCACAGGGAGCTAGAGATAGGAATTGAGTTTCTATCTAAATTGGAGTTGCGTAATTGTTCCTAATTGCACTTCTAAACATATTTGGTTTTGATATTACTTCTAAGTTTATACTACTAAGATGCTAACTTAAGCTAAGAGAATACTATTGAAGGTTGTCTAATTAGTTAAAAGGCACTAGGGGAGTGACTTTCTCCTAGGTGGATACTTGACGGGTTCTCGTGTCTAAGGCTAGGTTGTCATACTTGGGAATTACGATATAACCATTGCACGATTCTACTCACTCTATACCTCTCGGTAGTTCGAGTGATTTTTCCCTAATTGGCTTTCTCAAGATCAATTCGGTATGATCATTTGTGCAAGCAATTGAGGTTCAAGTCGGGTATTACAATCTCTCGGTTTAACCCTTTAATTGGGGATATCAATCTCTTGGGTACGCCCCAATTCCTTGTTGGACTAATTTTTATAGACTTAGGCTCTCTTTCTCAAGAAGAGCCCAAGTTAACTAGGCATAAACTAGTGTTTGCAACCACTAATTCAACATTAAAACCATAAATTAATCCAAATATCTAACACCCATAGACATTCAAGCCTTAAAACACAAGACCCATCAATTACCCATACTAGGGTTGAGCCACAACCCTAACTAATGGGTCAGCTACTCATGATAATATAGGAAAACAAAGAAATAGATGAAGAAAAACCCATAATAATTAATTACTAATTGAAACTTGAAGATTCAATGATAAAACTATTGTAAGATTACTCAAAACAGTAAAAGAACACTATTCACGAGCGCAACTCATCTTAAAATTATAACTGATGACCTAAAAATGGGAAAAGAAACTATTTATACTAGGCCAAAAATTCTGGACAAAAATACCCATATGGGGCTAGTGCGGACCACACAAAATCGAGTGCGGCCGCACTAAGGCTCTTGGCTGAAATTTTTGCTCTCTGAACTTGGCCACCGCGGGCCGCACAAAATGCACCGCAGCCGCGGTGGCTCCTGTTGCAGTCCGCACAAAATGGAATGTTGACCGCATTGGCAATGTTCCTCCAACTTGACAACTCTCTGAACTTGAGCTTTGCGGACCGCACAAAAACGAGTGCGGCCGTAATGAAGTCAATGCGGACCGCACAGAATGGAGTGCGGCCGCATTACTTGGCTGCCTGAAATGAGCACTCTCTGAACCTCTTCTTTGCGGACCGCACATAATGGAGTGCGGCCGCATTACTTTGCTGCCTGAGATGAGTACTCTCTGAACCTCTTCTTTGCGGGCCACACAGAATGGAGTGCGGCCGCATTGGTCCGGTTGTACTGAGCTTGGACTTGTTCTTGGTACTTGTGCATGTTTCACTCCTTTTTGAGCTGGTTTTGACGAATTGTCATATTGTTGATCAAACCCTGCAATCAAGTACAACACGTAAGCCTTTCGGACTATTTTGTACACATGTCTAATCAAAACCCAAGTAAGAAGGAGTGTAGAATGCATCATAATCCCTATTTATCTCCCAGACTTCTCGCCCTTATCTTTTTCTTCTAGTTCAAGAAGGCCATTTTACTTGTTTCACCTATCTCTACAACGCTTGTAATCCAATCCCAAATATTATTTTCATAAAAAATAATATCTCTATTAAAAAGGGACTTCTCTCTCTTCGATAAGCCTAACGGTAACATCTCCATCTCCATCGGCAAATCCCAACGCCGGCACTCGTCCAGGTGAACTAGGTAAGTACTCGTCCCTCTATTTCTCTCTTCTTTCTCTCTCCTTTCTCTCTCCCCGCATCTCTCTCTTTCTTCCCCTTTCTTTTAACCCTAGCAGCAGCTAGGCCAGCGATCGGCGACCCACCGGCACCGTCTCGTCTTTCTTCTGCTTTTCCGGCCCAACCACACCACCTTCCTCTATGTTTCCCTTTCTTCAAACCTTTCCTCATCGCACCACTAGTTCTCGGACAAGCACTGTTTTCCGAAGATCGTTTCGGTGACAGTCCTCTCCTTTTCTTGGTCCTGTGGTTTGTTGTGTGTGTTTCAGGTAGCACTTTTGGTGGCTGTTTGGTGACGGGTGGGAGGTGCACGGGCAAGCGTAGCAAAGCAGGCCATTTGGCAGTCACAAAGGGCTGGACATCGGGTCCCAAATCACACAGGTTATATTCGCGGGAATTGCTGCAGCTGCCCAGGCAAGCACGAGGCATACGGGCGAGTAGAGCGGAGCATCACCGGGTGCATCAAGTCATATTTCCAGGTTCTTTCCACCGGGAGTTGGTACCTCCCATTTTCTTGTCTCTTTCTCTATGTTAGTTAATTTGTGGCTGTTTAGTTAACATCACTTTAAGCATATTATTAGAATACTTGTAGTTGCAACCAGTTATTTTCTAGTTTGGGTCCGTGTTAGTGTCTTTCGGAGTTTGCCGTAGGTATAGTGGCTGTGGTGTGGGATGGTAGAGTAAGGTCATGTCCTCGAGGGGTGCAGGGGGTGAGAAGGGGGGTGAGGAGGGGGTCAGGGGTTGGGACGAGAGGAAAGGAGGGTAAAGGGAAAGAGGGAGCTTGTAGATTGAGGATCGGGTCGTGGATCATAGGCACGCTGACGGGCAAGTCTATTGAGTTGGCAAAGATCCTCCAGTAGAGAAAGGTTAATATAACTTGTGTCCAGGAGACTAGGTGGGCAGGATCGAAGGCGAAGAATGCGGACGGGTATAAGTTGTGGTACTCTGGAGTCGTGAGGGGTAAGAATGGAGTGGGTATCTTGGTGGATAGGGATCTTAGAGAGTCTGTGATTGAGGTTAGACGAGTGAATGATAGGCTAATATTTATTAAGTTGGTGATTGGTGAGTGCACCCTCAATGTAGTTAGCGCTTACGCGCCGTAAGCGGACTTGGATGAGGAGGTTAAGAGGCGTTTTTGGGAGGGCTTGGACGAGATTGTGCGTAGTATTCCACCTACTGAAAGGTTATTTATTGGAGGGATTTTAATGGCCATATTGGGGCGGCTGCTGGTAGTTATGGCGAGGTGCATGGTGGCTTTGGCCTTGGGGATAGGAACGGAGGAGGTACTTCGCTGTTAGACTTCGCTAAGTCTTTCGAGCTGGTGATTGCAAACTCGACTTTTCCGAAGAGGGAGGAGCATCTGGTTACTTTCCAAAGTTTGGCAGTGAAGACTCAGATCGATTACCTTCTCCTCAGAAGGTGTGATAGAGGGTTGTGCAAGGATTGCAAGGTTATCCCGGGAGATACCCTCGCGACTCAGCATAGGCTCTTAGTGATGGACATCGGCATTATGATGAAGAGGAAGAATAGGTATGCTCGTGGCCGACCGAGGATTAGATGGGGAGCTTTAACCAAGGATAAAGCCCAGGAGTTGGAGGGGAGGTTATCCGCTATGGGAGCTTAGAGGAGTAGTGGAGACGCGAACACTATGTGGTCAACGACGGCGAACTATGTGAGGGAGGCGGCGAGAGAGGTGATAGGTGTATTGAAGGCTTTTTCTGGCAGACACCAAGGAGACTGGTGGTGGAACGACATAGTCCAAGGTAAAGTGGAGGCGAAGAATGTAGCGTACGCGAAGTTGGCTGGGAGCACAAGCGAGGAGGAGAGGAGAGCGAATAGAGAGAGGTACAAAGTGGCTAGGAAGGAGGCAAAGCTGGCGGTCACGGAGGCTAAAGATGCAACGTTTAGCCATCTATACGAGGAATTAGGGGAGAAAGGCGGGGACAGGAAGTTGTTTCGGCTGGCTAAAGCGAGGGAGAGGAAGGCCTGGGATCTGGACCAAGTAAGGTGCATCAAAGACGAGGATGGTAGAGTATTGATGGGAGAGCCCCAGATTAAGCAGAGATGGCAGACGTACTTTTATGGTCTTCTAAATGAGGAGGGGGACCGGGATATAGCGTTAGGGGCCTTGGGGCATTCGGAGAGTCTCCGAGATTTTAGGTATTGCGGGCGCATTAAGGTGGAGGAGGTCGTGGGGGCTTTGCGTAAGATGAGTAGGGGTAGAGCGACCGAGCCAGATGAAATTCCGGTTGAGTTTTGGAAGTATGTGGGTAGAGCAGGATTGGAATGGTTGACTGGGTTGTTCAATGTAATTTTTAGGACGAAGTGGATGCCGGAGGAATGGAGGTCGAGTACAGTGGTACCGTTGTACAAGAACAAATGTGAGATCCAGTGTTGTAACAATTATAGGGGTATCAAGTTACTTAGCCATACCATGAAAGTCTGGGAGAGGGTGGTGGAGGTGAGCATGAGGAAGACGACATCTATATCCGACAATCAGTTTGGGTTCAAGTCGGGCCGCTCCACTACGGAAGCTATCCACCTTATTAGGAGGTTGGTGGAACAGTACATGGATAAGAAGAAAAATCTGCACATGGTGTTTATTGACTTGGAGAAAGCATATGACAAGGTTTCTAGGGAGGTGCTCTGGAGATGTCTTGAGGCGAAGGGCGTGCCGGTAGCCTACATAAGAGCGATCAAGGACATGTATGATGGAGCTAAGACTAAGGTTAGGACTGTGGGAGGGGCGACTCGGAGCATTTCCCGGTTGTTATGGGATTACACCAAGGCTCTACGCTTAGCCCGTTCTTATTTGCCTTGGTGATGGACGCTTTGACATACCATATTCAAGGGGAGGTGCCATGGTGTATGTTATTTGTTGATGATATAGTTCTAATTGACGAGACGAGGGCCGGTGTTGACAAGAGATTGGAGGTTTGGAGACGGACTCTCGAGTCTAAGGGTTTCAAATTGAGCAGGTCTAAGACAGAGTACCTGGAGTGCAAGTTTAGCGCTGAGTCGAGCGAAGTAGGCGGGGACGTGAGGCTTGGGTCACAGGTCATCCCCAAGAGAGATAGCTTCAAGTACCTTTGGTCGGTGATTCAGGGGGACGGAGAGATCGACGAGGACGTCACTCACCGCATATGGGTGGGCTGGATGAAATGGAGGCTTGCATCTGGAGTCTTGTGTGACAAAAAAGTGCCACTGATACTCAAAGGTAAGTTTTATAGAGTTGTGGTTAGACCGGCCATGTTGTATGGGGCAGAGTGTTGGCCGGTTAAGAACTCCCATATCCAGAGGATGAAAGTAGCAGAGATGCGGATGCTGAGGTGGATGTGCGGGCACACTAGGATAGACAAGATTAGGAATGAAGATATTCGGAAGAAGGTGGGCGTCCCCTGTGAATGACAAGATGCGGGAAGCGAGACTCATGTGGTTCGGGCACGTGCAGAGGAGAAGCCTTGATGCACCGGTGAGGAGGTGTGAGCGGTTGGTCGTGATGGGTACGAGGAGAGGTAGAGGGAGACCTAAGAAGTATTGGGGAGAGGTGATCAGGCAGGACATGGTACGACTGCAGATTTCCGCGGACATGGCCCTTGATAGGAAGGCTTGGAGGTCAAGCATTAGGGTTGTAGGATAGGGGTAGTAGAGCTTTCCTTACTTCATACCGGGGGTGAGACGGGGTTGGATTAGGGTTGATCTTAGATGGCTTGCAGTTTATGTTGAACCCGCACTATTCTTGCTGTTTATCTTAGCCCCGGGCCTCAGACTTTGGTTACTGTTATTGCATGTCATTCATCTTTTGGTTTTTATGCTTCTGTTACTATAACATTTTTTACCGGAGTTACTAATGAATTCCCTTTTCTTATTTTTTATTTCCCCTTTCTGAGCCGAGGGTCTATCGAAAATAGCCTCTCTGCCCTATCGGGGCAGGGGTAATGTCTGCGTACACATTACCCTTCCAGACCCCACTATGTGGGATTTTACTGGGTTGTTGTTGTTTGCTTAAGGGGTCATACAACTTGTAATCTTTTGCAATTTTTGCATATCCAACAAAAATGCATTTAATACTTTTATCATCAAATTTCCTTTGAAGCTCACTGGGAACAGAGGTCAAAAGAAAGTCAGGATATGGCGAAAGCATCTTTTTGGATCGAATGAGCTTTTGTGATAAAGGCGGAATTTGATACATGGATGTTTATGTAATGAAGACTTTGGAGTGCTTGTGGATGGTGTGCCACATGGGTACTTTCCAGCTTCTCGAGGGCTGCGACAAGGGTTCCAAACCTAGCCTGTTGATTTTAGCTGAAGAAGTGCTAAGCCGGGACTTGGTATCATTGAAAATGATAACATCTTACCATGCTTCGAGAGAGTGCTGGACAAGCATAAGCAATAGAACCAAAAACTTTGAGATGATCAATTTTGGGAGCTTTTCCATACCAGAGTTCATATGCCGTATTTTCTCTATTTGTTGCTGAAGTTGTTCTATTGAAAGTGTACATCGTTGTTGCTACTGCTTTAGCCCAAAACACTTTTGGCAATTTTGCTTGGTTGAGTAAACTCCTGGCTGCTTCGACAATGGTTCGATTTTGACGTTTCACCATACCATTTTGTTGTGGTGTGTATCTCACGTCATATTATTTTTTAATTTCATGCTCCAAGCAAGAATTTTCAAACTCTATTGGGAGTAACTCTCCTCCTTGATCTGTCCTCAATGCTTGTATTTTATGCCCCATATGATTTTCTACTTCTAGCTTGAACTTTCGGAACATCTCATACGCTTCACTCCTTTTAAGAAAATATACACATTGCATCCTTGAGAAACCATCAATGAGTAAAAGAAAATACATGCTTCCATTAAGAGACTCTATGTGCATTGGTCCACATAAATCTGCGTGAACTAAAGCGAGAGCTCTTGTTGCTCTAAATGATTTTTCTTTCTCAAACTTCTCCCGATGTTGCTTTCCAGCAATGCAGGCTTCACACAATTTGGTTCTTGGTGTGAGACTAGGCAATCTTTCAATAGCTTTGATATTACTCATATGCTTCAACTCATCATAGTTTAAATGAAAAAAATCTCTTATGCCATAATGTTGATTTTTTTTTTGTAGCAAAAATATAAAAACAGGAACCTGAAGTCATAAAACTCACTGAAAATATCTTGTTCGTCATCATCGAGCAACTAAACATTCTGCTGCCAAATTTGTCAAAAATTTGACAAACTCCTCCTTCAAAAAGTATGCTATAACCAGATTGCATCATTTGTTCCAAGCTTAGTAGATTTTATCGCATCTTAGGTACATAAAGGACACCCAAAATTATTTATTTTCCTTCAGGAATCTCCACTTTGATACTACCGATGCTAGTGGCAGTGATTGTGATGTTATGTCCCAGCGTAATCACCGTCTTCTTTCTTTCATCTAGCTCATGAAATAACTTCTTGTTGCCAGTCATGTGGTTGTTGCATCCACTGTCAAGATACCACGCATCCTATGTTGCTTCTATAGTTCATATGAAGCAAGAATGGAAAAGATTTTCTTCTTTTATTTCACTTGTTTCTTCTTGGAAGTTTGCTACATCTCCCTTCTCTCTGCAATTTTTCGTCAAATGTCCATACTTATGATATTTGCAACATTTGCGCTCTTCTTTGAACCACCGGTCTTCTTCTGCATGATTCTTCTTTTTGCAGAATTTGCATTCAGGATACTCTATTTTCTGTTCACTTTGCTTCTGATAGGATTCCAGTCCTCTTCCTCTACCACGAGCTCCTCTTCCCCTTCCCCGGTTGCTTGCAACACCTTTTCCTCGTCCATTAATATTCAACCTCATTTGAAATGCTTGCTCTGTATTGCTTTGACCTTCAGATTTTTTCAATCTATGCTCATGGGATAAAAGTGATCCCATTAAGTCATGATTTGAATATTCACTTGGATCTTTTAACTCTTCAATTGCTGTCACAACTGAGTCAAATTTTGCCGGTAACCTCTTAAGATTTTTTCGACAACTTGCTGCTCTTTCACATCTTCTCCATATGCCCTCAGTTGGTTCAAAATGGTCTGGCCATGACTGAAAAAATCAGCAACCTTCTCTGTGTTCTTCATTGTGAGATTTTCAAAATCTCTTCCCAAGGCTTGAACTTTGACAACAATGGCTTGGTTCGATCCTTGGAACTCCTTTTGCAACACGTTCCATGCTTCCTTGGATGTCTTTGCACCCATGATTCGAGGGAACACGCTGTCATTTATGCCTTGTTGAATCATTGACAAGGCTTTGCATCCTTTTTTATCTTCTCCTTCAGCTCTGTACGTTTGAGTTGCTGTTAGTCTATCTGCCTCTTCGTAGGTGGCGTAACTATTCTGAACTACCTCCCACAAGTCGTAGGATCCAAGCATTGTCTTCGTCTTGATAGACCAAAAAGGATAATTGTCTCCTTTAACAACTGGAATGGTTGTTGGTAGGTCACGCATTTTGGAATTTCTGGAATTGAGACGAGGAAACAAATCGTGGTAGTCAACTGGCTCTGATACTACCGATAAAATTAACGCAGTAAAACTTGCAATGTCTAAATATGGAGCTTAAAAGTCTTTCTAAAAATGATATTACTGATAGTTTAAATAAAACAAAGTCTTAATAACTTCTACCTAACCTCTAGGAAGTGAATAAATGTGGGGATAATAGAAACACAAACATATTAAGTGGATATCTACAACTAACTCCACTGTCTCAGATAGAAATAACTACTTCCTAAATATAAGGCTGCTTAGCTTCAGTTGCTTCCTCAATGCCACGTACTGGGATCACATTAACACACTTCACCGATACATCCTCCTTTTGGGTTATACATCTTTTGGTGATGCAGTGATTGTGAAGCAACTTGAAGCCAAGAAGAAGAAAGCGAGCAGTGAGTTTGAAAAGGTTCATTGCATGTTAGATGTGTCTTTGAATTAAAAGGATTTATAAAAATAAATTTATACTCCTTTACTACACATGTAATTACACAACGTTTGAGATTAAGTCCTTGTGACTTTCATAATCACGTGAGTGCCACTTTGAATTAGTCAGTGGAGCTATATTTTTCGCTAGAGGTTGAAGATGGACAGGGAGAGGACATAATATGAGAATTAGCAGGGAAGTCATGTGAGTGGCACATTTTTTGGTTTAAGTCGTTAGTTTCTTAACAAAGAATAACGGATGGACGATTCTTGCCATGTTTAGAAATAGTTTAGGGATATTTTTTCTGTTTATTGTGTAGCACTAGGATGTTGTTTAAATTTAATGTATTGTTGAAGGATGTTTTAGGCCAAAAACTCGGTGCAGTTTCATTTTGATTTTTCCAACACTTTTTATTACCTTTAAGGGAGGAAAATGACAATACGGACAAAAATATTACTATATAGGTGTGATTCAATCCTTCACCATATAATGAAAGGTGATGGGCTTACTAGGAAAAACACTCTCGATATGGAGACAAAATGGACTTATATGTTTTGGAGAACCAACATATGCTGCGAAAAATAAAAGATTAACTAAGCATAAACATCAAAGTGTCGAAGGAGATAAGTTTCTTAAGCCTCGAATATAAGATTTTCATGAAAATTTTTTGAGACTAGCTTGGATAACAATCTGATAAACTATATTCGTATCCAACATTGTTTTTGCTAAAACAATTTAAGAAAGATGAGGCATTTTTCGGCTATGATTTTGCAACACCCTAGTCATAAGGGGGATGTATGTGATATCCTAGGCGAATTCTACATCGACAAAATACGGGAGAGATGCTAAATATATAAGTAAACAAGCCTTAGCGACGAGTTTTAAAGTCATGCGTGCCTAGATGTATGTGATACCTAGGCGTAAAAGGGAGGTGTATGTGACACCCTATTTTTGAGGGATGTTTTAGGCCAAAAAATCGGTGCAGTTTCATTTTGGTTTTTCCAACGTTTTTTTTATTACATTCAAGGGAGGAAAAGGACAATTGGGACAAAAATCTTACTATATAGGTGTGATTCGATCCTTCACCATATAATGAAAGGTGATGGGCTTACTAGGAGTAGCACTCTCGATATGGAGACAAAATGGACTTATATATTTTGGAGAACCAACATATGCTGTGAAAAATAAAAGATTAACTAATCATAAACATCAAAGTGTTGAAGGAGATAAGTTTCTTGAGCTTCGAATATAAGATTTTCATGAAAAATGTTTGAGACTATCCTGGATAACAATCTGATAAACTATATTCGTATCCAACATTGTCTTTGCTTAAATAATTTAAGAAAGATGAGGCGTTTTTCGGCTATGATTTTGTGACAACCTAGTCGTAAGGGGGATGTATGTGATATCCTAGGCGAATTCTACATCGATAAAATACGGAAGAGATGCTGAATATATAAGTAAACAAGCCTTAGTGACGAGTTTTAAAGTCATGCGTGCCTAGCTGTACGTGATACCTAGGCGTAAAAGGGAGGTGTATGTGACAACCTAGGGGTTGTATGTAACACTTGGAGCCTGTTTGGATTGGCTTTTAAGCTGGTCAAACCATCTTTTAAGTTATTTTTTAGCTTATTGAGGTGTTTGGCAAACTTAAAATCTGCTTAAAGGTCAAATGCTTTTAAGCCAAAAAGTCCAAAATAAGCCAAAAGTGATAAGTTGGGTAATCCCAACTTTTTTTTAGCTTAAAAGCCACCCCTCTTTGACCAAGTATTGTACATTGCTATCCCTGATACTTATGTATAATTTCCAAAATACCCCAATCTTTTCTTTTTCTCCTTTCCTCCGCCATTTCCAATCTCTGCCTTCCAAATTCCATAATCTTTTCTTTTTCTCCTTTCCTCCGCCATTTCCAGTCTCTGCCATCCAAATAAGTAAGCTCTCTTTTCTTGTTCTTTGTAGAGTTATCTATTTCTTTTCTCGTGGTGGGTGGCTTTGGGTGAGGAAGAATGATGCTTTAAATTGAGACAAAAATTAATTTATATTTGAATTAAGTTCAAATTATTTTAGTTAATAACATGCGTTTCTTCCGGTAAACATAAATACCTCTTACTTTCAAGAAAATAGAGCTTAGCAATCAACTTGATTTGAGAATCTACACCTATTCATTTGTTTTGACCCCATGAAAAAACAAACAAAGAAAGATAGTACGAATTGATTTAGTCTTGATAGTTTCAGGGCATTTAAGTAATTTTAACGAATTGCTTATTTAAAAATTAAGCTCAAGCACACAAAAGAGCTCTTGGTCCAATTAGTTGGTTGACCGAAAAGCAATTGGAGAAAAAGGATGGAAAACCAAAAGACGCGCCAGGTAGGGGTAGAACCAATGACTTTCTGCTTAGGAAAGCAGACGCTCTATCCACTGAGATACAGGCGCTTTACGTTCTCATTTTGCTAGATAAATTAATTCTAGTAAGAAAAAGACCACCAGGCCCACAACCCATACCTTTACCCGGCACCATTGGCCACACCAGCAGCTCAGCACGACTGTTCCCTTTTCTTCACTGTTTCCGTGTCTCCAATTTTTGACTGATAATTAATATATCTACAAATCTAGGAAACAAGGGACAGAGAAAGAGAGGGAGGAGAAAAAACCCATCAAGAATTTCACTTTTCTTTCGTTTTTCAGCGTTTATTTATTGACCCAAAGATCAAGGCTTGCAGAACGGGCAAGAAAATCACATCCCATAACCTGTTTGGCAATTTTCCATAGGTTTGAATTCCAAAAATCCCCTTCCTTCTTTATTTCAAAGAAATTAACACGACTTAATAGTAATAAAAAGAAGAGAAAAAAAGGACAACTTTTTGTTGCCTGTTAGTTTTCTGCATTGTCGGCAGTTTCAGAGACTTATATGTTGTGTAGGATATAGAGGATTTATCCAATAAAGTTGATCTGAATAGAGCAGAATAAATACAAGGGATTCATATAGTCGACCTTAACTGATTTGATTAGGGAAAGTTTTGATTTTTGCACTTATTTTGAGCTTCTACTGCAGGTAGGAGATGTGTTTTCTTTCCATATTGGAGGTCCAAAGGTTGATATAAGCTTTGAGAAAAACCTATTTGTTTTGCCGGATTATTGCTTGTAAATGCAACTTTGTAGATCAGTTGCATCTTGGATATCCCGTATCTTGGCTTGCATGGGGTGAGTAACTCGATTCTTTCCCTGTGTGTCTTTCTGAACTATAATTTATTGAATCTAACACTCCGCCACTCCGGGATGTTTTCTGTCTTCATTTTCTATTTCTATCTTTGTTGCTGTATAATATTGGCCTGAGATAAACTTAATTGGAGCAAAGTGCGACCCCAACTTGAGTTTGGGATTGAGGCGTAGTAGTAGTTGTTATTTTGTATTTGCTCCTGCGGATAGGGATGAAGTAGTATGGCACATGTGGCCATACTACTGCCTTCAGCTTGAACCATATATATGAGGTGTGTGTGAAAGTTTATGTGAATATTTTGCTAAGATTGTAACTACGGTCATAAGGTAGTAATGAATATATTATGTTCTCATTGAATTAAAATCCTAGATCTGCCTTTAGGCGCGGATAATATGTATTCTTTGGGAAAGAAAAAGGGAAAGTTTTGTTATTCTTGAAATTAAAGAAAATGAGACATGGCTAAGCAAACCTATGTAAATTGCAGCTCTTGGCTTTTATTTGGTGATTTGGAATCTTTTACTTGCTCAGAGGCTAAGCAAGTGTATAAAACAGAAATGAGCTGGTTCCTTTATCAGGTTCCTTTATTTTCATGCTTTGCCTGTTATGTTAAGGTGTTTCTTGCTTGAAGGACACATTCTGCATGTAATTTTCTTTTTACCTACTTATTAAAAAAATTATCTTGTTGAGCTACAGCGTGAAAAGCTTTCATCTAGCCATGTATAATAGGTGTTATTCATGGATTCATAGTTTTGGTATTTTGGAGAATATTTTCGAGTCCTTATTGGTTTGGTGATGGAAAAGTTGAAGAAAAAATTCCAAGCTCTTGTAATGTAAGAGTTTACTTTTGTCCTATGTCTTATATTTGGTGCAGGATAGTAATTTGTGCTGAAACTATAAGTAATCACTTTTGAGATCAATACCTAGAATTTAATAACTACTCCTATTAACTTTGTAATTTGTAAATGCATTTAGTTATCAGTTTCTTAGATCCTTTGTTGTTCTTGATACCTGGATTTTGAAGTTCTCAATGTTTGTGATTATTTGTGGGACCATAGATTCCCATATTTTGATTTGTGTATGCCACTACTCTTTGGTGACTTGATTAATGATAGCCGATGGTTTGTTCATGCCCATCTGCAGCTTAAATTTGTAACATGCCCCTATTAAGGCCTTACTAGGTTGTCCATGGATTTATAGCTGAATCAACTATTGTCAGTTGCTTTATGTAGTCGCCACGGCATTTCAGGTGTCCTTTCTAAAAGGTTGCAGAACAGTGCATGGGCCATGGGCCATGCTTTGACACAGTTTATGTTTAGTTCTGAATTGGGTTCCAAACTTAGAATGTTGAATTTAGTTGGAGTTATGTTATCAAATTTTTTTACTCCACTAATCAATTTCAATGGTTATAAACCCGGTTGCAACAGAGCAGAAGTTGTCTTGGATGCTGTATGAAATCTCCCCATGTTGTTTCAGCGGATAGGCCATCCAAGAGACTGAAAGTTCCGAGCCAACGGTTGAGGAAAGCTAGTTTAAGAGACGACTTTTGGAGCAGTAGTGCGGGCGAGATGGAGAATAGCACATTTCCTTCCCAGAGAAGCATCTCATCAATTAGCACTTCAAATCCTGCCCTTGATCCTCACAGTAACTCTGGCACCACGAACAACACTTCAGAATTTGTAAATCATGGCAAGTGCATCTTTTTATCTCCTTTTGTTTTGATACGAATCCCCTAATTGTTTACCAGTAGCAACTAATCCTGCATGGGAATCAATGACGTCTCACTATTGTACGCAAATGCAGAGGCAAAAAATCATGATAACAATTTGGAAGAGTAGATAACCCTTGGCAGGGTACTTTCCTGGGATTGCTACCGAAAAAGTTAAAAAATATCTGATAGTACATTTCTTGACTTGACTTGCTTTTAAGGGGAACTCCTGAACTTTGACCCACCTTGCGATCCCAACTGCCTCTTTTTGTCATGCCTAACTGCCTCAATGGAAAGGGCAGCCCGATGCACAAGGCATCCCAGCATTCACGCAGGGTCCGGGGAAGGGATGTGATGTGGACAACCTACCCTAATGCAAGCATTAGTGATTGCTTTCACGGTTCGAACCGTGACCTATAGGTCACACAGAGACAACTTTGCTATTGCTCCAAGGCTCCCCTTCAAATCCCCTCAATGAATGGGCCAAAAAATGGCTTTGTATTGGGGTTTTCTTGCAAAAGTTCATATTTCTTCACCTTTTTTCTATTGGTTGACCCAAAATGTTGTAAACACTTGATGCGCGAGAAATCAGCTCAATGTTTTTTTTTGGTTATTTCCTTTAATTTTAAAGGGGGAGGGGATCTTAATTAGCTTTCATTTTTCTAGAAATGACTAATTTACTTATCGGCCAAAAAAATGGCTAATGGGCTTTGCAGAAATTCCATTATTTGAGGCATAGACTGGAGAGAGCATAACTAAGCTTCTAAAGCATGTTCTTGTGCTGTTCCGTTAATCTTTGCTCAATTTATTAAGTTTAATACTCTCTGTATTTTCTTTATGTATCACTGAATTAAACATTGCCTGGAGCAGGTCTACTTCTTTGGAATCAAACAAGGCAACATTGGTGTGGAAGTAAAACATCACAGAAGCGTGCTTCAGTTCGAGAACCAAAATTAGGGTATGTTTTTCACATATTTGGAAGTCTAAGCATGAAGATTCTTTGACTAAAAGGGAAAAATAACAAAGGAAAGAAAGAAAATGAATGAAGCCCCTACAGGCCATTGTTTTGAAACTTCAAGTCTTTAGACTTAGTAGTTTCTGCTGGCAATTCGACACAATCCTGAAACAATTTGGTTTTGAAATTAGTGGTATCGTGCTACTAATTTCAACAATTGCACATTATACTATTTTAGTTAACTGTACATATACATTTTTAACAAGTCTATTCTACCATCATAAAATTGCAGTTTTGATACAAGTTACGAAACTTTGCTAGGGACCAATAAGCGTTTCCCTCAACCAATCCCTTTGTCGGTTAGTAATCAAATTAGCTTAATAGTTTTTTGTTTCCGTATTCCTCATACCTAGTTGCTGACTGTTCTGCATTTTAATTATCAGGAAATGGTAGACTTTCTGGTCGATGTCTGGGAACAAGAGGGGCTTTATGATTAAACAGCTGCATAATTCATGATTCTCAGCTGGCTGGATTTGTGTTTTGCAAGTTTTGAAGAAACCAAATCCAAAAAACAAATTCAAACAGCCATGTGTAATCTCAGCATCTGTGTTGAGAAGAAAAATGAAACTTTTGTTACCAAATGCCCCCATTTCGACATGTTATCATCTGAAAAGAAAAAAAGAAGCCTTTTCGACTAATTTATAGATATTAGTCAGGCTAAAAGTCAAGCACAAAGAGCCTTGGCTAATTTAGATACATTGATGGGTAGAGAATTGAATCTCTATTCATAAATATAACATGTTCTTGTAGATACTTGTACCTCATAAGTTCTTTATTGTTTCATCCAGTTCTGATGTAATATCTGTTTCTTCTTTCTTATTTTGGAAATGCTCTCCATTTTCTTGCAGTTAGGAGAAGTTAAAGATTAAACATATGCTTCTTTAATATAGAAACATGCAAGTTCATGATCCAAAATGCATCAGTGATGAAAATAAGGATGCAAGTTGAGAAATGTATGAGTTGGAATTACATGGGGAAATTGAGACAGCACAGAATGTCCAGGTGATTCCATAATTCAGAGTAACTTAAGCTTTGTTTTTCACCTTAAAAAGGTGCATTTAGGACAATCTACTACCGTTGGTTGACAGATTCAAACATCAATGTTTTAACGAAGGTATAGCTCCACGCACTAAACATAACATCAATGTTTTAACGAAGGTATAGCTCCACGCACTAAACATCAGCGACATTTTTATTCCTGTCCTTTCAGATAATGGAATAATGGATTGGTTGTTTTTGCCAAAGCTTCAGTCTCACTTGAGAACCTTCAGTTAGAGGAATGCCTCGGGTTTTCCTGGCTGGGGTTTTTGGTATACTTTTGAATTGTGGTAAAAAGCTGAAGGCTCTTTCCTGGTGAACTGCTTTGGCGTGAAAGACAAAACCAATGGATGTCCATTGGTGGTTTCTTGCAACTTACTGCAATCTTTGGCTATTAGAAACTGCACTGGAGTAGGCAATGCTATCATTTCCCTAGTAGGTAGACTCTGCCCCAAACTGACTCATCTGGAGCTGAGTGGACTCCTCGGCTGAACTGATGAGGTGCTCTTCACTCTTTCAGAGCTGTGTAGTTAGTTTGGTGGAGGTGAGTTTAAGCGGGTGTGTCAATGTTATGGGCAAATCAGTTTCAGCCATAGCTGAGCTGCATGGGGGGACTCTGGAGTCTTTGATCACAAATGGTGGTGGACAACTGGACATGTCAATGTTCTTTTTTTCTCAGCTTCTACAATGAAGCTGTTAATGAGGATATTTGGCTCCCTTTTAATGGGAAGTCTTATCCTATTACTCGGGACCGGATCCACCTTGCGACCTACGTAGTTTTTGTTCAAACAGTGTAAATGTGTTCGAAAAATTCACTAAATGTCTATTAATGTTTGAATGTGAACCCAATCACTATTGAAAATTTACTCGAGGTTGTTGCAGGAACCCATAAACCTTAAATTATGGATCCGCCTCTACTATTACTCCAGTCATACTTCACCGAGAATACAAATGCTGGGTTTTTGGATAGAGAGACTCATGTCATGTGTAGCCCTAGTTCCTTTTGCCATAGTTTTTAGCTTCTACCCTTTCATCGATTAGCAAATCATGCTACAAGAGAAGCTTTTCTATTAATTAGTTCCTCTTCACTTTTAGGTTTACCGAGTCTTCCACGATGTTCAGTGTTCTGCTTGTGATTGTTTGGTCATGTCCGGCTCTTGAATCTTTTTAAGGTTGCTTCTAGCAGTTGTATGGGTTTGTACCAAGCTCTAGTTTTGCAGGCCTCTCTTTTCCATGACTGTTATTTGTTCATGTCTTTTTGTCAGGGGCGGCTCAAGAACATCAGAGGCCTAAAGCCAAATTTTTTTAGAGGTCTTACACTTAAAAAAAAAAATCATAATGTAACAAGACTCATACTTTATAGTTGACATATGTAAATTCTGAAATAATAATAGTAAAGCAATATACTACTATGAAGTAAAAATATAAAAATAACAAATTTCAAATTTAAAAGAAATAATAGAAATTTAAAGGCGAAATGTCTTCCTGGCCACTTAAACTTGTAGGGCTTTTGAAAGCCGATACACAAACTTTGAGTTTTCCCATTTGAACACTCGAACTCGTTTTTTCCATAACTAATAAACACATATGACCCTTAAGCCTATGCGCGTATATTACACATACACAGACGTGTCCATCCACTCAGCAATTGACCAATCCAAAACTAAGACCCCACCCAACTAATGACGTGTGTAATTTTTAAATAAAAATTGTCACCTATATTTATATTTTAAAAATAAAAATAAATACAATAAAAAAGAAAACACTTGAACCCTTCCAGCTTCCTCTTCCCCTTCCCCGTTCTTTCCCATCTCGCCCCCCACCCCCCACACCTGCAACTCTTTCTTCTACTTCCATATCAGCACTCCCTTCCTAGGTTCTTCTTCGTCTTCTCCTCTCTCTATTTTTTTCTAGTTAGGTAGGAGAAATTTTCTGATCAGCACTGTCGCAGAATTTGTTTTCTTTAAAGTTGTGACAAATCATTATCGTATTTTGGAAGTATATGTGCTAGAACGTGGAGTTAGCTTGTGGGTGAAGTATGAATTTGATCTTGGAGATAAATTTTTTGGGATGGTTAGGGGTGCTACTTTTGCTGATGGGTGTTTCCATATCTTGGATGACGAGAACGGGCTAGTGACATTTGACCTGAAAAATAACCATTTTAAGATTTACAAATTAGTTATTGGAGGAGGTAATTATCCAAGTGCAGAAAGCCTGCAATTTTCGTACAAGGAGAAATATTTCAGAAGGAATGGTTTGAGAAAAAGGATGAAATTTGGGAAAGATGTTACCATTTCTGCTTGTGCGGCCTCTTACGCTGGAAGTGATGATTCTGTAATTCTTATCAAGAATGAAGAGATTAAGGCCAAAGAAGAATTTGAAACTCGCGATTCCAAAATACGATAATGATTTACAGCTCCCCTACTGTGAATGATTTGTGAGTCTGTTAGAAAATTAGAAGATGATGAAGGGGATGAAGAAGTATGAGGACCAAAAACTTCAGAGAAATCAAAGTCTGGATCAGTAGAAGAGGAATCTGGGATTTTGAGGTGGGTGAGTTTACTTGCTAGCATGGAATGAACGGCCTTTTTTTGTTGAGCTGCAAAGGCCATATTTTTTTTATAATTTTTTGTACTGTTGGGCGTTGGGAAGGGAGTTTTCAATGGTCAAATGTGTTTATTAGTTACGGAAAAAACGAGTTCGAGTGTTCAAATGGGAAAATAAAAAGTTTATGTGTCGACTTTAAAAAACCCGACAAGTTTAAGTGGCCAGGAAGCCATTTCGCCAAATTTAAAACAATAGAATTTGATTCTAGAAATCCATATATAACTCAATATATCATAATAAAATTTTATTGTTGCTGCAATGCTTAAAAGAATGAAAAAGAAGTAATCCTAATTTATTCAATGTCTTTCATCCATAAAATATCATCCGCTCTAGGAGTTTACACCTAACTAAACATTTAACCTTAAGAATCAATAAATCAAAGTAAAAATATTACTCGACCGTGGTTAAGTGTTAAAAATTGTACATGCAAGACATACATCTTACATTCATTGGTTTACTATACACATTCGATGCAGATAAGTTTTTACCTTTTTTCATCCCTTATTTTTTAGAGAATAGACAACTTAGTAAGAAGAAAAAGAAAAGAATATAAAATACACAAATCTTATTATAAGAAAGAATAATAATAAATAATAATAATAATATCACTGTTAGAAGGTAAATTAATTATAAGTCAACATAAATCACATTGGCTAAATAATTCTCTATCTTTTTATAAATTTTTTTTATACTTTTTGCCATAAATATTCAATATATTCTATATAAAACTACCATAGAATTAACTTATACTGTTAATTAAAAAAAGGGGGCCCTAACAATTTGGGGGCCTAAAGCCATTGCTTCATTGGCTTTACCCTCTAGCCGGCTCTGCTTTTTGTGATAAAAATGTCAATGGAATAAATAAAAAAGGAAATCTTATGTATAATTTATGGCAGTGCGCGCGCGCCCATATATATATATATATATATATATATATATATATATATATATATATATATATATATATATATATATATATATAGACACCTCTTTGGTTCAATACCATATGATAAATTGTTAGATAACGAATGTAGGCATAATTATATGTAATATATATAGCTAGCATAATTATAGGAATTTACAACAGATTTATACGATTTCTTTTTTGATTCTTTCCATAGTTAGGGCTCTGTGTACTTGTATATATACTTGTTATTTCTTGAATACAAGAGAAGAGAGATTCCTCTCTTGTCTCTCTACTTTACATAAATCATGGTCAACTTTGTCGTTTTGCTCAAAATCAACTTGGTTTCCATCGTACAAAATAGTAGTTACTAAATTTGATTACATGTCAATCGTACAAAAGATTAGTTACTGTAGATTATCACCGTATTTAATTTATATCCACTGTCATCGTACAAAATTTTTTACACTGTCAGTGTATGAAGTTTTTATACTGTCGGTACAATTTAGTCTATTGTGGATGGTTGTCTTATTTTTCAAATTAATGTCACTTTACATGAGTAATTTTATTTAATTATATTTAAAATTTATATGATAGTACAAAGAATTTTTACACTATCGGTATATAATTAAAAACGTACCCACAGTGTGGCAGAGGTACAGAATTTAATTTCTGAACAACCAGTAGTAGCATATATTATATGTGACACAGAAATGAGCTTTATATTTAACAGACAAATGTCACCAGATCGACACCAGCCATGTACTACTATCCCAATGTATTAAAATGATAGCCTTGTATGCATGAGGCTGCTAATAAAAGGTGAGGCAGTTTCTTCTTTATTTTAAAGATTCAATAGTCTGCAAAATATAGATGATCATGTCTTTATTTTATGATCATCAGCTGAAACTTGTATTTATTGTTGGTGGATTCTTGATCATCTTTGCCCTTCTTTTTCTTCAACCTATTACAGGTTAGTACGTAGTATTAGTGTTGCAAAATGACACCTTCTATTTACTTACGAACCCCTTTTTTATAGATAACGGGTACGAGCCGTGCAAGCGGCCATTAATATTTGCATTAGAATAGGCTGTCTATATCACATTCCTTGGAGTGTGGCCCGCGTGAATGCAGAATGCCTCGTGCACCAGGATACCCTTCCTTTTAACGGCTCTTAAATAAAAATCTTGGATGAAAATTATTTTTCCATGTAAACATATGGTTTAATTTTCTAAAGTTTCTTTCTATGGAAAAATAAGCTTTTCCATCCTTGAATTGATTACTTGATCAATTTAACCTTTTATTGGATATTAGTTTTTTTTGTTTATTTTTACAAACCAATAAAAGTTCACGTGTAATGTAGTAATATGGCTGTTGGGATCAGAGACGGGTTTATGACTTAAATTTGATGAGTTCAATCTTGAACGAAAAATCCTTTTCTCACCTATATATTACTCCTTGCAATTCTAACCATGAATTGTATGTACGTTTATAGGTTGAATCTTGAATCTGCAGAATATTAACGTGGTAGCCTATGGTTAGGCGAATTGAGACTATTGTTATTTCATGGCCTAATGGATGCTGCCTTTATGGAGTAAAATTGAAAACATACAATTAGACAGATGACAAGGAAAAAGAAAAAGAGAGGGAAGGTGATTTTGACATTTTTCTTTTTCCTTTTTTTCCCTCTATTTAATATTCATCAAGTGGGTACTTACTTAGGTTATAAGAACATCTTTTTCTAAACAAAGTTTCATAAATTGTGCTTAACATTTAATTAGTATTAAAAACCATTTCAAAAGTACACTAAAACTTGACTTATTGACTCAATTTTAGATTAGTATATTTCTATTTATCCCTTTCTTTGACAGGATTGCACCAAAATAATAGAGATGATTATACTGAACTCCTGAATGTCGATAAGCATATGATTTTGACTCTTCCAGCCATTTAGTAATAAACAACTTGTTGTAGGCTGTAGATATTCAATAAAGTCCAATCAGTTTTATCTATGTCAAGTTGTCAACCAATCCCATTAAACGATATTCTTTGGATAACATCTGCCATACAGATTAAAAGGGACAGCTTACCAATTCTCTAAGGGGGGAGAGATCCACAATTGTGGTTCCTGTGGAAAGGAACAATATTTTTCCTTTTAATAAAAATGGTGTCTGATCCATCTTGCGCACATCTCTACTATTTCACTAAATATCTACTACCTCCCACCAAGATTAGCAAGGGAGAAAAAAGAGGTAGATGTAGTAAAAATTTCATAATACCTAAACAAAGCTAAAACATCATGTAAGGTATATGTAATTTACAAATACACCTCAATAAACAACAACCATTTGGTTCAAGAGAGCAGTTACAACAGCCAGTACATGACCAAACTGTGCCAAGGTTTATATAACTGAAAAGTACTTGGATATTCGACTACGAACAGACAAAATTCTTAAGGATTTCTGGCTTACTCAACATTAGGTAACAGAAAAGCTTATCTGACGATAATTAGCTTAAAGGAATTGCTCAAACTGTAACCTTATAATGCTGCAAGCAACCTGCAATTCTAATGACCACAATCTTGAAAGAAGACAGAACACTAGAAACTCGACCTTGCTGCTGACTATAGACAAAATGGCGACGTTGCCTAGTAAAATATTCAGTGCATTCATTTCTCAGATAAACCAAATCTTATTCATACCTTTTGCAATACTTTAAGCAAAGAGGGAATGAAGATTGCTCCATCACAATATATATTCAACTTGTTGCTTTTAGTGCTCGACTGTAACGTGTTCCTCCACCAGATCAGTCTCTATTTGAGCTTCAACTACAGTCTCTGGCTGGCTTGATTCAACAGTTGATACAACCTCACACTCTTGAACATCTGCTTCGCGTTCAGTAGTTTGCTCGAGTTGGTTGTTTGGTTGAGAAGCAACTTCACTCATCTCTTTGGGTAAAGCATTCGGCAGAGATGCAGCTTCAGTTGATTTCTTGGATAAGCTAGATTTGCGAATAGAAGGCTTTCTTGTTTCATTGGATAAGTTGGTTTTCTCGGATGGCAGCTTTGGAAGTGACTTCCTTTGAGGCTTCTTAAAATTGAGAGGAGAATGCCCTTTGACGGGATCATTTTGAGATGCATTTTCGTCCAAGCTTAACCTACTTGGGCGCATGACACTCTCATTATTTCCTTCTTTAGTGGGAGAGCTCTTTCTCCTCCCAAGTTTGGGGGATTTAGCTCTTGTTGGTGGAATCTAACATCATAAGATAGTGACAGAAGGTGTTAGAGAAACACCACATAACTTGTAGATTTCAAAATAAAAGGAGGAATAAATTACTTTAGGAGAAACATCAAGTGTACATATACATAGGGGTGTGCATTCGATTTATCGATTCGATTTTGACCCTTATCGATAATTACTTATCGATTATCGATTTGTACATATGCTTATCGTTATCGTTTAAATAAGGTTTCGATTTTTTCGATTTCGATTTATCGATTTTGGGGGCTTATCGATTCGATTATCGATTACACCAATAGAAAATTTGCGGGATTCCACGGAAAGTATATCGCTATAAACGCGCCTAACTAATATGGACAAAAAGAAGCTAAAATAAGACGAACACCATTTATAACATAAAAATTGTGTCAACAAGCACATGCAACAAAACTAAAGTAAGGGATCAAATGCATGCCACCAACACTCCAACAGTATAAAAAAAACAAAACAAAATACATCATCACGGCTAATTCTGTTTTCCATTAATTTGAACTTCATTCCCTTGATCTTTAAATATGATCATTCCTTAAATGTGATAGAGGAAATAATAGGGTAAGGGACTTAGGGTAAAGGAAAGGGTATAGATTAGGGAAAATGATATTATATAGCCGCTTTCATAATAGTAGCGGAATATATATACATTCTGTATGTTATATTAATCTACACTAATAGCTAATTACTCATTTTACAAGTGTCTACAGTTTAGGGGTGTGCATTCGATTTATCGATTCGATTTTGACCCTTATCGATAATTACTTATCGATTATCGATTTGTACATATGCTTATCGTTATCGTTTCAATAAGGTTTCGATTTTTTCGATTTCGATTTCGATAACAAATAATCGATTCGATTTATCAATAAACCGATTCGAATGCACACCCCTAAAAACAAACACCTTTTTTAAAAAAAAATATTTCAAATATTATCTATTTGCAGTGTGTTAGTTGGACATAGTTAATACTGACTACTGGTAGTTTTATCAGAAGAATAAATTTACCCTGATAAGTAGAGACTGAACCCATGTCCTTTATTTGTTTATCTATTTATTTATTTATTTATTTATTTTTGCAGCCCATGTCCTCCATTTCTTCTCCCATGTGCTTCTTCCTTCATTTTTTTTGCTGAGTTCACTGTTTTTTCTCTCTTTCACGTACATCTCTGACGGTCAACTGCATTATTATTATTATTATTATTATTATTATTATTATTGTTATTATTATTATTATTATTATTATTATTTAATTTTTAAATTTTTATATAAAATTCCCTCCAAATTAGGAGGATCTATAGTGTTTCCACACTTCTCCTCCAGCGTGACTCGAACCCAAGGCCTAACGGTCGAGGGTGGAGGTGCTTTACCAACTGAACAACCCTCACTAGTTTATTCAATGCTTCCCCTCCAGCGTAACTCGAAAGATCTATTTCTGCTCATACTTAATTATTCAATGCTTATAAGTTGATTCTTAATATATATATATATATATATATATATTTTATGCCAATTCGCATTTAACCTCCTCAGCTTTCGCAGGTTTTCAGTTTTAACCCCAAGTGTATCTAGTGGGAATGTTCTCACCTTCTATCATACTATGACATTTAAGATTCTAATCTTATTATTCATTAAGTAGTAAAAATAGCTTTTTTGGTCCCTGATTTATTGCATTATTGCGAATTTGATCCTTTTATTAATTGACTAAGCACATTAAACCTTCAATTAACCTAAACGTATGAGTTTGCTCTTTTAAGCTAATAGATGTTAAATACTCCGTTAACAGAGAGTTCCTCTTTTTTTTTTCTCGAACATTGACTCCCTAATCCCCGTACATAGTTTAATAGAACAACAGAACATCTAATGGAACAAAATCAAAATATTTAAATTAATTGAATGTTTAATGTGATTAGTCAAATAACACAAGGATCCAAATCGGAACAATGCAGTAATTCAGGGATCAAATATGCCATTTTCGGAATATTGAACTACTAATGGGCATCAATTCGATAAAAATAAAAGTTTGAAACTCGTGAAATTTACAAATAATGCTCCATTAATTGAATGTTAGTGTATGTCGTAAACATCCTAAATGGAAATGATATTGTATAAATTGACACCGGTAGGATACGTTTGATTAAATTAATTCTTGGTTATATCTTAGTGTTTTGAAATTGGAGAGCAATACTTGTATGGGGTCAAATTCTGCCCACTATGGTAAGCAACGACCCCCGACTAAGCAATAGCCGAAGTAGAGGGGACGACCTAAGAATGTCAGAGCGAAAGTATGCCCTTGAATCTCGTCGTCTCCTCAAAAGCACGTGACCATCCCTGTATTATTTTATTATTTTTTGAGGGGGTTCTCTTGTTATATAAGGGAGAATCCCAATGTTGTAAGGGGGGGGGGGGAATCTTTTTCAATAAGAAGCTATCTTCTCTTTCTCTCTCTCTCTCAACAAGCTTTCTCTTACTCTCTTTTGAATATCCAGATTGTTGAAACAATCACAAGCATAATATATATTTCTAGGTCTAATTATATTCGATTACGATTTACCTTTGATTCATTTTGATTGTTTTCGCTTACAAAGTAATTAGTATCTTTTGAGTCAAACAATTTGGCGTCGCCTGTGGGGATTTCGGCAATCGAAATCATAGTTTGCACCTAGAACATCAAAAATAAACCACCTTCCTCCACACCCTACTGAAATCGAAAAATGGCGGAAAATGACGCACGATTGAAAGCAATAGCAGGCGTCACAACCAACCTCATGGGCCCCCTCAACGAGGCCGGCAGAGAAAACATCTTGAGCACAACACCTGGTAACACTCAAGAGGGAGAAATCTCACCCTCCCCATCTGAAGATCTGACGATCATGCAAGAAAAGGGGGCTTCCACGTCTGCAGTCAAAGAAGCACCACCCCCGGTGGTCAAGAAGCTACTGGAAGAATGGCTGACGAACACCCTAGGCAGCTTGCTCGAAAAATCGCCCCAAAGCAACATTAAGAACCCGTTGACGACAGACATCGCTACCACCAGTGAACACGATACTGTACGTACAAACAACAACCACACCAATGGCCAGACCAGCGATGGCACACTTGCAGCCATCCTTAAAAAAATGGAGGAAATGGAGAATGAAAACAAGGCACTTCGGGATCAGATGAAAGAGCATCAGGAAAGAGTAGACAAAATTCCCGGCGCTCCTAAGTTACTACCAAAACGCGACGTGGGAAGATTCGTCGAACAGCCATACAGCGAAGAAGCTGCACCTCACCCGATCCCAAAGACTTTCAAGATGCCACCCTACTTAAGGATATATGACGGAACGACGGACCCCGAAGACCACCTGATCCACTATGTGACCGCTGTGAAGGGTAACGATCTGTNATATTAATCTACACAAATAGGTAATTACTCATTTTACAAGTGTCTACAGTTTAGGGGTGTGCATTCGATTTATCGATTCGATTTTGACCCTTATCGATAATTACTTATCGATTATCGATTTGTACATATGCTTATCGCTATCGTTTCAATAAGGTTTCGATTTTTTCGATTTCGATAACAAATAATCGATTCGATTTATCGATAAATCGATTCGAATGCACACCCCTACATGATATACAAAACTAGTTAGAAAAGAATAAAGCAAATTTTAGGAAATTTCTTTAGCTGAAAGCATGACATGTCTTAGAGTTAAACATTTCAAGCAAAAAAAATAAAAAATAAAAAAAGGAATGACTGGAGTCTACATTATATTAAGCCATGAACAACTAGCATCCTAGCATGACTAGAAAAAGTAAGGCGGCAAACTCGGGTAAAGCTAGATAAGCCTAGAAGACTTGATGGTACTTGAGATTATCACAGCAATGAGGTTCTAGCATTCACTCTGTTGTCCAAATCAATCTTGGGAATACCCACACGGCCACACTACATCTCCGTGATGTGCAAACTAAAATCCTGCTTGGGATATTGCATCTTTTAGTTTTGTCAACTTGGGTAATCTGATAGCTACGCCGAATAACTTCTTTCTTTTCTTTCAGAGGTAACAATGATCTTTTAGTATCTTCACAGTAAGATCCATGGAGTTGAATCCTTATAAAAAAAGATGAGTTGGATTTTCTGATCTTTATGAATATCCAGACTAATAGAGCTTCTAAAAAGCATACTGACTAAGAAACAGATAAATGTCATTACAGCCAATTCTAACCGGAATAATATGTCATGTAATTATCCTTCTGTGTTACATGAATCCTTCATTTATCTTGACGTCTGACATTTGTAAGGGTATTCATACGGTTTATCAGAATTCAAAATACACTTAGTATTGGCAAAAAACTGCACCGACAACACAACTGGCTACATAACCCTAAACAAGTGCATGTAACAGAACTTGGTATATTTACATATGTATAGACATAAAATTTACATGCACACAATTAATAGGGTCAGATGCATATACCTGAGTTTCCCTTGAGTACAGATAACTTTTGCTTAACATTTTAACAAGAACAATGACAACAACTACGCCTCAATTTCAAACAAGTTGGGTCACTAACATTGCAGAAATCCCACAAAACTTTTGTTTAACATTGCAGAAAGAGAAAATCTTCGACACCCAATAGAAGCATTTCTGTACTATCTAGTTGCCCAGCTCCATTTCTTTGCCAACTGAATAGTGTAGGGAGCTCCAAAATCTTCTTATACCACCAACTTAAGAAAGCTAGCTTTCACCATAGGCTTGCCTACTTGACTTTTCTTTGAAATTTCCTAACCTTAAGTTAAATAGATGGAGGCACTCCAATTTACGGTTGCTATGGTGATTAAGGATGTGTGTAGTAGAGTTTATAGCACAAAAAGCGAGTGTTTTTCAAGAAAAATTAAGTAATTGGCTGCAAAAAGAAAATTTATCTAGTCTAAGATTTACTGAATCAGACAAACGTCAACAACCATGGGTGTGCTCTTCACAGTTCACTAAATATCATGCATCAATAACCACTTCTTTTTTCTTGATCATACTAAGCACTTATGATATCATTAGAAAGGGTGATGAAGTTCCACTGGCTCTATCCCAATAAAGTCAATCATCACATAAATGTATCAAGAGAAATGTGCCATTTGTGGTCTAAAAGTCAAGTAACTGAACTCTCAACTCCACCAAGCTATATCCAGCTTATCCGTTGATAGCTAAGGCTTTCTTTTAGGAGCTCAGTAGTGTTGAAAAATATTATATAATGTATCAAGGGCAATGCGCCATTAGTGGTCTAAAAGTCAAGACACTGAACTCCCGGCCCTTCCAAGCTATATCAGTTTAACCATTTGATAGCTAAGGGTTTCTTTACAGAGCTCAGTAGTAGTGCAATTTCTTTCTATGTAGTTCGTCGCATTCTGACAGAGCATGCAGTTTAAATGTCTAAGTTGAAAGTGTTCCAAAGATCGGCTAAAGGATTAACTTGAACCTAACTCTTTTACTATTTTCTAGAGCTTCACAAGAAAAGTTAAGCTGTGCTCCACATTACCTGACACCAAATATATTACTTAATTTTTAACGTATCATAACACATTTTCAGGATAAAGCAAATGAAATTTATACAAATAATGAGATATTATTACACGAAGCTAAAATATCAACTACATGGAGCTTAAAAGGAACGGTAACAAAGTCATTTTGAGCTAAAGAACCACTAAATATTCAACATACTATGTTTAAGAACAGCAAAAGGTGTTTCATAATATAGAATAAGTATTTCTCGGCATCGTGACATACAGCACAAAATTACCTTCTTCAACTCCACCTTTGGAGGAGCAGGTTCCTGATAAAAGCTTGGCATAGGAGTTGCTTTAAATTTTAAGCTCTTCCTTAGCATTTTGATCTCAGCTTCCTGAGTTTCCTGTTAGAGAAATGAAAGAAAATAAATGGAAATGCTACAAGATAACCCTCTATAACAAGAAATGTTCTACGCCTACTAGATTCCGAAGCAGAAAAAGTCAAAACACCTTAGTCTTGGCTTGCAGATTACTCTTCTCAACTTCCTTTGCATGGATTTTTTCTTCAAGCTTGGAGTAAAACTGTCCAAATTCCACAAATTAATTTTTCCTTAGTTGACTTCCCGGTGGAAGGCAAGCAAGCATGTATTATAAGCATCAGCAACACAAGCAGAGAGCTAACCTCTTTCCTTTTCTCAGCTCTTTCATCACACTTGAAATTGATATCGTAGGTTGGAAGACTACCTACTTTGCGAGTTTTGGCATCTGATGCACCAGTAGGACTACTATGAAGTAATTAAGGATAAACTGAAAGATTTTTCATCCTTTGATGCTAATATAAAAAGAACACCATAGCAAAGGAGCAAAGAGAAAGAAAAAGTATAAACTCATTTAGGATACGAAGATAATTCCGCACTTCCATCAGCTTTATTAGGGGGCACTTTCTTCAAAGGCTTCAGTTTTGTTGTTTCCCTGCAGTAACAAAATTATAGTTCACAACCTTACTGGGAAAAAGGTTATCCATAAATAAGCAACAAGGGACTTTGGCATCTTTCAAAAATGTTTCGGCTCCATGCAACAGGTACGGAACTACAAGAGCAAATGAGCAATAGGACATACTTAAGGCCCTCAGAGTGGGCAGCACTTGGAGAAGCTGATGCTACTTCAGCATGGCCTGGTTGCTGCTAGAAGACAGCAAAAAAGGAATATGATATTGATAACAATAAACAGAAGCAGATGAAGCTGCAATATTGAAATTCAGATTATGGTTACTCTGGACTGTATGTCTATAACTGTACGCCATAAATTAGACCTAAAACGTTTACCTTAGCACGATTAACATTTAGATGAGCCAATGTAGGTTTTGAATAGTACTCAGTAGTTTTCTTGTCACTGAATGATTTACTCTTTGCATCAGTGGAAGATGGCTGTTTCGGACGCGATTTGGAAGCAAGGGTACCATTTGATGCATCTTTTCCATCTTTACTTTTCTTGGCTGCGCCATTTTTAGGGCTTGAATTCTTAGTGTTCCTTGCCCTTCCTGGAGCCTTTCGCTCTTTACTGTTCTTCGCCTCATCAGATTCTTTAGCTTCATGTTCCTGTAAGTAAAGTGATTACATAACTGTGGTGTCAAAATGTCCTGAGTAAGTTTAAAAAGAACGGAACAAACCCCTTACCTCGGAACTGACACCAGCATTGCTTTCTGCAGTTGTCATAGCTTCACGACTGACCTCTTGGACAGAAGAGTCAACTGTTTCACTATCATTCAATACGGCTGTACTCTGGAAACTCCTCTCTAGTTCTTCAGTACTGGAACTTGCATGAGGCATCCCGTTTGGTATGCCAGCAACAACTTCAGGAAGTTGGTGAACTCCATTTCCAAAGCCCAACCCGTTTCCAGAAACAGCTACGTTATTGACAACATCCATCATGCTCTATAATGTTTCAAAATTAGCAACCACAATTCTACAAGTCAAAACCACAAACAGAAAATGCCTCGTGAATGGAGATTACACAAGCAGAAATCAAAGGTTTTTAAAGTATAATTAAACCCCCAATAGTAGGCTCTCAAGACATACATTCTCATCTCCACAATACAACCAATCCCGCAGACAGCAAATTGTATATAAAAGATTACTAAAGCAATGCTACAACTACAAAAAGAACTCAACTTTGAAAATTCAAGTCTCACAACACTACAAACTCTCATGTATGACACAGAATACCTTCTATTATTTCAACCGCTTTGGTCTTCACTCTTCAGAGAGACTAACAGCACACAAATAAAAAACTCAGGCTTCTTTCTCTCAGTAAGCAAGAACCATTTCTACTGAACTGAGAATTAAACAAAGTAAAAGCACCTTAAAAATCAAAACTATCCATCAACTATGAGTCAATCCCAAATTACAAAGAACTCAAAAACCAAATCCAAGAACAATACCAGAAGACGACAAAATCAGTAGACCGACACACTACTCTACTAGATCTCAAAACCCAGTTAAAAAGATCCAATCTTTTTCTCATTCCAAGATTCAATGCTGCAAATCCAAACCCCAAAAACCCACAACCCATTTTCACAGTGCTAATCCCCACAAGATACTCATAATGTACTTAAATACAAAGCACAACAAATGCAGTTTGTTACTGAATGCTAGTATAAACTTACCTAAACAACCATAAAAAGGTCACAAGTCCATTAAATCCAAGGGATCTGAGAGAATCTTGGGAAACAAAGTGAAACACTTGCAAAACAAACAAGAATCTGAAACTTGTAGTAACAAATTATGAAAATGTAACTGCTCTAAAAATGCTTTATTTTGGTTTTCTTGAATTTTGGAAGTGAAAAGCTGTGAACTTTGAAGAGGGGTTTCTCTATTTCTGCAAATTATGACTTTGTTTCAACTCAAAAATAGAGAGAGGGGGGACGGTTTTGCTCTCGTGTGTGTGTGTGTTGGGGGGGATGGTTTTTCAATATAATTTAGTTTCTTCTATTCTATGTATGTGACAGAAGTATTAAAATCTATATTCCAGGTCATTGTCTGATAAGAGAGAGAGAGAGAGAGAACACCTACTTTAAGGATAGGGAGATACAGTTTACATATGCGGTTACTGTAATCATAGGGACATCTCAATAAGTCTGCCTTACCTGGCTATATCAAAGGCTGACAATTAAAATATTATTCTTTTTTTAAAAGTTTGATTTGCTTCATTTTCCCTTGTCTTCGAATTCATATTCATTTTATATCCAGAAGGACAGCTAGGTAAACCAAAGTCACAATTTTAATTAGGACAAACTTAAGTCACAGTTTGAACAAGTAAAAATATAGGATAATACATATGTTCCTTTTAATTTCATCCATTTTTTTAACTACACACTTAACTTCATGATGACCCTTTTTATTATACATACGTATTCATGAGTTTGATATAAATTTTTAAACTGAAAAATACGGAACACCTTCAATTTTTTTTATTTTTCACATACATCTATAGTAATATTTAAGCATGACTATTACTAATTATATTTCAACTTCAATATATCACCTAATATGATTTAATAATGATTTCGTGTAAACATTGAAGATAAATATTTTTTTTCTTTCACTACAATGTTATGTACTTGTGTCTAGTGATCTTTCTAGCTATCACTACTCTGTCATTGTGCTCCTTTTCCCTATACCTATAAATAAAATAAAACTTTCACGTGCCATGTTAATTCTCGAATTAGTACTTACATATAGATATGTTTGTTTAAGCATAAAAGAGAAAACACTTGTTGTCTCTACGAAATTTAGGAGGAGAAAAAACTACTATCACTTTTGACGTTAAAATAAAAAATAAAAAATAAATTTTAATTTTCATGCTCCAAAATTTCGTTTTATAGTCTTTTATGTTTACTAATAATAATGCTTCCATATCCTAAAACTATAGTATATGTTTCACTATTCTTCACCTATTTTGTCCATATACTTCCAATACCAAGTGCTTTTTTTTTTAGCAAAGGAAAGATACATATATTATAGCTAGATAGGGTTCAAAACATCACAACCATTGATTTACTGTACATTACTAGTTCAGATATGTTTCTTTATTGCTTTTTTTAAATAGAAAAAATAGTGCAAAGATATTTATCAAAAATATTCTTCCTAATAATAATTTGCCCCTCGAAAAAATGATCCTTCAATCTAATCACAAAGTCAAAGTGAACGAGACAAAAGGAAAACAAAAACAACATCATCATCATAAATTTTCACGGGAAATCAATTGAAAAATAATATATCTAAGAAAGCAAAGATGCAAACATCAAAGTCAACAAAGTTGTAACAACAATATTTTAATAATTTATTTATTATTCTTCACTCGAATCTTATAAATCTAGACAAATCGGAATGAAAGATATTGTTGACAATGTATCTTAGGCACGGGTGGGCATAGTTTGGGCAAACCCAAAGTCCAAACGAAATTCGAACTGTTTGGATTTTCAGATTATGTTTCAGATTTAATTTTTAATTTTTTTAGATTTCAGATTGGATATTAGATTTGGTACTTCAGATTTTTGAATACCCGAAAATCTAAATTTTTTATATTTTATATATAGTCCATATTTCATATGCCAATAGTAACAAATAAAATATCCTAACCATTATAATCTCAATATTCAATCAATGGCGGACCCAAAACTTTATGCAAGCGTGTTTAGAAATATGCTAAGTCCTCGGTAGCAGTTAACATTAAAAGTGACACTAAGTTCACATACAAAGTTTATCTTGCTCCATTTATTTTGGTTCTTAACGAAACGTTAAAAGAAATATTGCTCGCTACGCTTTATTTCTTTTCGAAGTCGCCTTGTTTTATTTTGTTTACACATTTACCTAGATTTTAACAATAGATCTATTTATCTTATAAATTTTACAATTTATTAAAAGTTATATTAAAATTTTTATCGGAACAAACATCATTTTGACCTATATTAAAATATTAAACTCATAATTTAACTTGTGCTACTGTAAATCAAAAATAACATAAAAGAACTATAAACTAAATTAGATTAATAATTTCAGTATAAAAAGTTTCAAAACTATGAAAGGAAACTAATATAAAATAAATAATAAAAGAAAGAAGAAGAATAAGAAGAAGAAGCAGCAACAACAACAACAGTGATGCAGGTCGACAACAAAGAGGCAAGTAACATAGTTCAAAAATAATATGAAATGTAAAAGGTTGTCAAGTTTGGATAGAATAATATTTGAAGAAAAATCAAAAACAAAAATCATTATGTATATCACAATACATTTATATAAATTGTATTATTTATGTATATTAGGATCCTTTAAAATATTCACCTCAATATCACTCTGACCCCAAAGACTAACAAACCAAACTCAGTGAAAGAATATAGGCTCATTGCATGTTGTACTGTCCTATACAAAATGATTGCTAAAATATTAGCTTCCAGATTGCAAGGTGTGGTTACAGATATCATTGCACAGGCAGGTTTTATCCCAGGTAGGAAAATAGCTGATAATATTGTATTGGGTGATACCCTTTTTGCTTGAGCCCGACCGGGTTGGGTCCGGTCCGGGGCAAGTCGGGGCCATCGAACCCGACCTGGATGAAAGGTAGAACAACGGCCACGTCAACAACCGAGGTCGAGTCATTTCGAGACCGTTGCAGAGCTCGATATGAGTCACCACCGGATGGAGAAACACACAAGGTCGGAAGCCGGACTCGTAACGGATAACCAAGCGTCGCCGGATATCTCGCCCAAACGTGATTTTCTCAACCACTTCAGGCCATTAAGGCGTAATTACAGGGATCCACGATGTAATTAATTTACCTACCTTATTTTTACCCTTAATCAGAATGTATAAAAGGGGAGAAGACCCCATAAAGAGGGGATCGGAAACCATTACACTACAGTACCATCTCTCTCAATTCTTGTACGCTATCAAGCACAATTGTTCTAAGCAATATTATATTCTGCGATTATTTACTTTAGCAGCAATTGCTGAGTCTTTATCTTTTATTTTCCTCAATCCAAACCTTTTGTATCTTTTAGTTCACGGATCCTTAAAACCCCATATAAATTCAATTGTTATCCGGATTCCAGGGTAAACAACACTTTTGAGAAAAATATACTTAAAAGCACTTTTTAAGAGCTTGCTCAAACACTAATTATATTGTTGCTCAGAAGTCTTTTTCAAATTCATTAACCAAACACAAACTACTTCTCACCACAAGTATTTTTGAGAAAAAAACTTCTCAAAAATAAGTTGATTTTAGAAGCTTGGCCAAACAGGCTATAAATATCATTTTTATCAAAATAGTAATTAATTAATACTTATTCACTAAATTTTACGTGTATCTACATTAAAAATGACATGTTAAACTCTTTTATAATTTTCGCAATATCAGTACATTTTAACATGTATCAGGTTAATGCTTTATCTAGTAGTTTACCCAATTAATAGTTATTATGAAAAGTTTAATGTTGTTACCTTATAAGTTGCGATACGATTATGTAAATATTTTTACAATATCAGTACATATAACGTATAACTCTTTATAATAATAGGATTATGTAGAGTCAAAGATGATAGCTGAGAAAGAGATGTTAAACTGTGGGAAGGAGGGTATGGAGGTGGTGACATTATGTTGCGGTCTTGTGGGTGGAGACACTTACTTACCTTATACCCCAACAAGTACTGCCTTATTCTTGTCACTGCTGACTCGAGAGAAAAGTCTCTATAATTCACTCAAGTTTCTAGAAGAGCTTATAGGAAAAGTGCCAATTGTACATATTGAAGATGTATGTGAAGCTCACTTGTTCTTCATGAAAGCTGCAGTCAATGGCCGTTTCTTGTGCGCTAGCTCCTTTGTTTCTTCTGCAGAAATTGGCTGTTATTACCAACAGAATTATCCTGAGTTTAATCTCAACCAAGAGTAAGATCGCCAACCCTTGCATTGTTCATTGAGTTTAAGTTTTATGCATCTTTAGTGTTATAAGTGAAGGGAAGCTTTGGAGTAATGGTAAACTATTAATATTTGTACATAGGATAGACTGCCAACATCATACCCCTTATGATACAACCCTTCCCTTGACCCTCCTGCGTCAACATGAATACTTCGTGCACCCGATTATTCTTTTTTTAGTATTAAAAGTATTTGCACACACTCAAGTTCCGTATGAAGTAACTACAATATAAATTTATATAATTTAATAAGATGTGACTTGATAAAATTGTTACTAACTTTAGAGACAGATTCAAGATATGAACTGAACGTGATATGGGTTCTGGACAGTAGTAACCTCAAATGTTAGTAAATGAGTTCTTAATTTAATTTTTGTGCAAGTTAGTGAATTTCTTTACACCTATAAAGGGTTTGGGTACTCAAAACGGAAAATTTTATTTTGTGTCTTTGTGGACCCAGATTTTTGTGGACCAAAAATATAAAATTGGGGTCCACAAATTTGTGAGATAAAAAGGAGTCTCATACAACTAATTGTACGAAGCACACAATAAAACTTCTCTACTCAAAACTATTGGATTTTGTGGAGCCCATATATTAGAACCTGTTATGAATGAAAATAACCTCATGAAGGACACATTGCGACATCAGCAAATTACATGTGGAACGCGGGAATAGGGACACGTGAGGAAGGAAATGGGAAATGAAAAACTAATACTCCTAGGTTAGGTAAAATTAGGTATGCTATGTTGTTGACATAATTGTCGTCTATTTCTCATCTCCCTTCTTTTAGGTTACTGCTCTTATACTCTTCTGTAACTTCTTCGGTATTTTAGTTATTAATTTGGCCAATCAGTTTTCCTTTATAATTGTGAGTGTTTATATATTTGGAGGTTTACAGAGCCTACCTCCACCCCAGAATAGCCTTATATTTCAGGTTAAATTACATTGATAAATTAAAATAACATTTTAGTGTCAATATATATAGCTTATTAAATCCGTATGCATTACTTCATTTATCTCAAACATAGTGTCCTTCTAAAGTCAATACATAAAAATATATTTTAGAGGTAAAAAAAACGACAGTGCTATTAGTTTCATCGAAGTTTTGTTTTCAATTCTTAGAAACTAACACAAATATTAAAGACGATGAACTTTTTGCATTTAAAATATTTAAGAAGATTTAGTAGAAGAAATTCAAATTTGAATAGTCCGAAGAATATGAAGTTGAATTGCATATAAAATATTCTCTCTTGAATGTAATTTTTTTCTTATTATGGTTTTCCTCTTAATTTCTTTCGTAAAACTTCTCATTCCAGGTATTTGAACGACCCCAATAGAGAAATCAAATGGAGATCGAAAAAGCTTGTTGACAGCGGTTTCGTGTACAAGTATGGGATGAAGGAGATATTGGATGATAGTGTTAGTAGTGCCAGGAAGAATGGCACCTTTCAGCAACAATGAAGCACCTCATGCATTAAGAGGCGGATTCAGAATTTACAATTTATAGGTTCCTGTAACAATCTCAAATTTATATACAATAACAACTAAGTTCACAGTTTCATTTTTATAGACATTTAATGAATTTCTATATATA